TAGGAACCAATACCTTTCAGCTGACTCATCCACTTCTACTGGCATTTCAATCCTAGCATCCAGTGAGGGGCAGGAGGTAGGGGTCAGGATGCAAACTTGAGGTTTCCTGACAATGCACCAAAGGTGGATGTGGGTGAGGCCCAGGAGGGGCCTGCTTCTCGAGGCTGGACTAGAGCCCCAAGAGGCCTTGGCTTCCCAGGTAGGTGACTTTCCCTTCAAAGATGGCAGAATCTCTTAGGGTGGGGACTGGAATTTCTAGAAGAGAAACTCAAGGGTTGTTCCCAGTCTCTCTAAAACTGTGGCCGGTGGGAATAAGAAGGAAGGTTCCACTGAGGGTCTGAGCCTCATCTGACACTTCTCTTCACACTTTCTCATACAACCTTGATGAAGAAGCCGGTCAGGGATATGCTAAGTGTCCTCTGCAAATCTTGCTAACTGCTGTGCACAGAGAGGGCCCTGTTGTGTTATGAATCCACCAAAGACTGGGAGATGGCAGGAGCCCTGGGCTGGAGTTAGATAGGGCACAAGTTTTACACACAGGTGATACTGGAAACAGGCCAGCACGAGGCTGTCATGTGCTGCTGACATGGGGGGTTAATGAGAAGGCACAGGGATATTAACTTTTCTGGGGCAGTCTCTGAGTGGAATGCACATGGCACCCAAAGGCCTGTCTTCCCTCCTCTGACAGGAAGGGCCCACCCATGTGCACTCTCGACCACTGTTTATGTAACCTTTGAGATGATCCCAACCAAGGCCTTTTGATGTGTTGATTGAATGAGACATTACCAGGGTAACTGGGCACCATGGTTCCTCCTCCTCCCTGTGACTCACTGGAGACTGATGGGGCAGTGTGCATTCAGCTGTGCAACCCTGACCATCCCAGCACCTCCAAGGACCTGTCCTGCCCCTACCCCACCTCTCAGGCACCCATTCACCCCACAAACATCTGTGGGTGTCTACTGTGCGTGGCTACAGCAAAGAACAAACCAGAGGTGGGAGGAGGGGATGAACCCCACTCTCAAGTTTAAATTCTCCCAGAGGCAGAAAACTAGTAAACAATAGATTAGAGAAATACATAATGTGTCAGAGAAAGAGATGGGCTATCTAGCTATGAATCCAGAGATGAGGGAGGGGCAGCCTGAGTGTGCAAGCACTCTGCTATAAAGGAACCAAAGCCTAGGAGTGGAGGGAGAGCTGGGACAGTCCCTGGGTCAGAGGAGCACAGCAGGTGTGGTCCCAGGGTGTGGAACGAACGCGCTGTACCCACATGCCAGAGACCAAAGTAGATGCAGCACTCAAGTGGGGGAGGGGGGACCCACAGTCACCTGTGGGAAGCGACTGCTAGTGGGTGCCAAGTAGAGGAATCCAGATTTGCTCACCTTGTCTGCTGCCTGGAGCAGAGACTGTGAACACAACAGGGGTCCCTGCAGGGGGCCACTGCAACAAGCTGGGTGGGAGATCGTGGTGACTGTCACTAGGGAGGACCATGAAGGTTGACAGGAGCCCTCAGGTTCTAGGTAGGAGGCAGAGTCATGAGACTGTTGAGCCTGATGTGTGGGGTGTCAGGAAAAGGGCACAACTGCCAATGAATTTGTCCTGAGTGTGGACACTGAGGGAAGCCTTGGGAGGCAGAGGAACCCAGAAAAGAGCAGGAGGATGTTTGCATGTGTTAGGTTGGAGAGTCTGTTAGATTTCCAATGGGGACACTGACTAGTCTGGAACTCAGAGAGACCAGGACTAGAGACATAAATTCAATTATCAGCATAAAATATTGTTCAAAGCGTTGCAACTGCCTGAGCTCCTTAGGGAAGGGAGGCAGAAAAAGAAAAGTCAGGGAGCCAGGGCAGGCCATGATGGAGCAAGCTAAACAAAGACCAAGGGATGGGGAGCATTCTTTCTGGACATGGAGGAAGAGGGTACTTCTGGGAGAAGAAACAAACAGTTGCATCAAACTCCACTGAGTTTGGGCAAGGAGGGCTGAGGTTGCCTGCTGGGTTTGGCCCCATAGAAGTCACTAGTAAAATGCATAAGAGCACTCTCCAGGGCCTCAGTGGGCTGGGGATGAAGCTCAATGGTAGAGCACATGCTTACCATGAACAAAGTCCTGGGTTCAGTCCTGACACTGCAAATACACACAAGAGAGAATGGAAGAAGCCCAGCTGGGAGGAAGGGAAGCTGGAGAGGAGATGATTTGTGGGAGATGCATGTAGATCCTCTCTAAGGAGTTTTTGCTATATGTGGGGAGCAGAGAATGGAACAGGAGCTTTAGGGGGTTGTGGGTCAAGAGTATTGTGTGTGTAGGTTTTTTTTTTCTTCAGATGGGAGAAATTACAGTATGTTTCCATATCCACAGGAACAATCCAGTGAAATAAACACGATGATGGTGATGATGATGTGATGACGATGAGAGAGGAAAAAAAGAGAGAATAGCTTCACCCCAACTGACCACAGGGGCACAGGACACCAGACTAGATACAGGACACCTAGGTCAGGGGCCTAGATCTATCCCTTACTGGTCAGTCCAACTAACCATGGATATACAAGGCAGTTAGAACATCAGCCTCGCTTCCCTCTCTGGCTTGTGGTAGAGAGGGAATAGGTGTGAAAGTATTCTGCAGAATGCAACGGGTGGAACAGATGGCTGGGATTATTCTTATTATTCTAATAAAACAAGGGATTATTAAGCAGATTTAAGGGCTTACCACACACCCAGCCCTACCTGCATGTACCGCTTCCTTGTGCAGCTCTAACACTGGCTGCAACCTGACTCTCGGGAAGCAAAGTCCACGCCCTTACCTTCCATCGATGCTTACCCTTCTCCACTGCCCCCCTTGCCCTGGCTCAACTCCTCTTCTACCCATGGCCATTGCTGCCCTCTGAGGCCTCCCGATGCTACTGCCCAGGCTTGTGGCCCTCAATGTTGCCTTCTTTCCTTCTCCCAGCCTGACCCTCCTCCCATCCTTCGGAACTGCTCTTTGCTTGAGAAGACATGGCCTGAAGGAAGGACCCTCATCCAGGAACGAGGAGAAATGGGCATCTTAGGGCAACCGGCCATCCTACTTTACTCAGGATTTAGGGGTTCCCTCAGAAGTGGACCTTCAGTGCTGAAACTGGGACTGTCCCAGGTAGACTCAGGGATAAACTGGCATCCTAGTTTTAACCAAGCTAAGCCCATACATAGTTGGTCTGCGAGGAAACCTTGGACCAATCACTTAATCTCTCTGGAATCTGGTTTTCTCATCTGGAAGAGGAGGGCTTAGAGTTTCTAACTCTTCTAGTCCTCAAGTTCTAAGACTACATGTCCTCGGTTCATTTCATAATATTCACTGAGTGCCTCTTTGTGCCAGGCACTGTACTTGTCCTGTGGACTAAGGCTTCTGGGCAGGAAGCACAGCGCTTCACACATAGTAGATGCTCAGGAAAGACCTATTGTAAAGATGAATGCATAAACCTAGCACACTCCCATTTCTGGCTTGACCCCTGTCTAACCTCCAAACCTTTTGCTCACAGTTCTCACCCACGCCATTTTCCCCATAATACAAAAGAAAGAATTTCTGGAGGGCCTTCCATCCTCTACCTAAGCCCAAGTCAACAGAAGTTTATCCTTTAAGGCAATCTCAGGAGCACTGGAGAGGCACCAAAATGGGTACAGGACACGAGTCTTGGTCCCTGACTGTCCCTTACTGGTGGTGAGACTGCCCACTCCTTAACCAGAGTTTCTGATGTGGAAGGCATTTCGCTTCTCTTTGCTTTGAGACAGGATCTAATACAGCCCAGGCGGGCCTCAAACCCTCTATGTAGACCAGGATGACCTTGAATGAACTGCTGATCTTCCTTCTACCTCCTAAGTGCTAGGATTACAGCTGTGTACTACCATGGTGGGCGGAATGGAAGGCAGCTCCTACATTAACAAGTCTACCTCCCTGTGCTCTGCTGGACATCTTGTCACCCATGAGCCTCTGAGACCTGTGACAAAGCTAGGGAGTCTGGCCACTTAGAGGAACTGAGCGTACCAATGAGGGCTCCACTGGCAATGGATGTCTCCTTAATGGCTTCCCATGAAGATGTCACTGGTACCAGCTTGCCTACTGGGTGATCTGAGACACAACCACATCCGGGTGCTTGGAGCCCACCTGAACAAAAGACAGTGTTGGGCTGCTCTGGGCAGGTCCTTGGTCATACTGCCTGGGTGTCTGCTTCCAAGCACTTCCCACTTAGCCTTTAACCATGAGTGGATCTCTAGAGCCAGATGTCCAGATTCCCAGTTTGATACCAGAACTTCTTAGGATGCTGAATGGCCTCAGCTGTTATCTGGCATCTCTGAGCTTCCGTTTCCTCATTTTGATCTAATAACAGTAGCACCTACATGGTAGCTGTGGGGAGAGAGGTAAGTGTAGCATGTACGGGGAGATGGCTGGGGGAAAGTGAGAGCTCAGTAGCTATTAGCTAAGCACATGTCTGTAATACCAGCACTCAGGAGGCTGAGGTGGGAGAATCTTAAGTTCAAGGCCAGCCTGTCTCAAAAATAAATAAATAAATAAACAAATAATAAAATTAACTATTACTGTTAACTGTTGTCATCACCAACACTCTCACTTTGCGAAGAGCAAAGAACAAGCTCTCTAATAAAGTCTCTCTCTAGGTATTTGGGATCTTCCTGGCTCTAAGCCTTCCCAGTTTGCCCTAGGACAGTAACACTAACTTGGTCCACATAGCAGGATACTCCCATGCCCAACCCAAGGAGGGAAGGGCCCCTCTTCCCAGGTCTTCCCTGCTCAGCAGCTTTCATCCTACTGCTACCATCTCCCTGGCCCCTGCCCGGCTGGTATGTTCTGCACACCATACAGAATGCCTTAAATGTAATACTAAGTCAGCCGTACCCTTAAAGAGGTGCTTCAAAAGGGATCCAGGAGGACTATAAGGAAAATGGAGGGAGGACGGATCTGGGGAGAGGGTCACAAAACTGAGAAGGTGGTCCCCAGGAGTTGGGGTAAACTCACCAGTGTAAACACACCCGCTCCTAGTATGGCATAGACTGCGTGGAGCCAGGGCACCTGTGGACAGAGGAAGGCTGGACTTAGGATGTGAAATGGGCAGTCGCAGAAGGACCAGGGATTGTAGGGGAATCTGGGTGCGGACGGTAGAAGAAGAGGGATAGCTCTCCTCAGCACTCCCTAAGAAGCCCCAGGACTGGGAGGGGCTCCTGATTCTCTGGGTACTCACAAAAGTAAGGCAGGGAGACCCCAGGATAATCATGAAACATCTTGCAGGGAATTCCCACCACCTGACATTTATTTCTTCCCTCAAACACAGCCCCAGGCCCAAGCTGGCCCAGGGTGATTCATTCTGTCTGCCAGTCATCCCCCCAGCTTGGATCAGGCTATAGGCTGTTTTCTGCTATCCTGGCTTATCCCTGGCCCTTCTGGAGTCTGTCCCTCCTTCTGGGAACTTCCTGGCTCGGCCTTAGGAGTAAAGGGCTCAGGTAGAAGGAATCAGTCAAACTTAGGGTGTGTGTAGAAGGGGAGGCATCCAGAGCCTGCGCTAGCTGGGTATTGTGGACCCGCTTCTGAAGGCCCTTCCCAAACTCTGCTTCCTCCAGACTTCCAGATCTCAAGAGCACCTGATTGAGTGTGAAAACTCCACAGCTGTAAGCTGTGCTGTTCTTTGTAGGGCCCTCCCATTAAGCTTTCCAGAAGATTCTTGGAAACAAAGGCTTCCCATTAGTCCAATGTGGGTCAATAAAGGGTTCTTTGAAGTTCTGGGGTTCCTTCCTGCAATCCCCCTCCCCATCCTAGATACACAGAGGTCCCCAGGCTAGCTCCGGCCCCTCCTTTTGTCAACAGGATCCTGGGAAGAGCCAAGGAAATGTCAGAACCAATCTTGACATCCTAGACTGAGTGCCAACTGCCCCAAGGCTGGGGCTGGGCAGGATGGAGGGACTGAGGGACTGAGGAATGCCACCCCGGCCCTGGCAGGCAAGGGGCAATGGGGGAATCAGGCACTGAATATGCCTGGAGGGATAGTCACTGAGCCCCCAACAGAGGCCCACCTGCTTCCTTTCTTGTGTTCTCAGGTTTTAAACCTCACGCTCCCGTCATGTCCCTGATGTGCTCCCCAGCATGCAGTGGCTTCAGTGCCTGCAGTTACAGCTAGCATTCTCCCAGGCAGGCTGGATGCCATTAGGAGAGCTGGGAAGAGCCCTCTAGCTGGTGGGTGCTCTGTGTGTGTGTGTGGTCTATTCTTGAACCACCTCCCTCCTGCCTGGCAAGTCAGATTCTGCCTCTTTGGGCTCGGGTGGGCTCCTGGAGTCCCAGTGTATCTTCCTCAGCTACAGGCCTTCCCTCCCCCTTCCTTCCACCTGCAGGGGAGGATGGGAAAGGTGAAGCCGGATGTGGCTCCTGGAGCCAGGCAGGTGCCCAGGCCTGCCAAGAAAAGCCTTCTTGTTTGCTTGCGTACACTGCCAACACACCTGGGGCAGGTGCCAGGAGGGCTGGACAGGATGGCAAGCCATGGGGCTTTGGACCCGAACGTGCCCTGGAGGGGGTAGGAGGCCATGGCACCCTGGGCATCAGGCTCTCCCCATCTTCCCTGGGGGTCTGAGGTCAGAGACTCACGTATTGAAAGGGCAGGAGGATGGCGAGGAGGAGTCCGCTGAAGAAGAGGGTCATGAGCAGAACGAAGAGCACACCCTGGCAGGAGGTGAAGTCAAACTGCGGGGCACAGGGGATCATCAGCGCTGGGCCTGGGCAGTGTGCTGGCCAGAGGCTGAGACCCACAACCCAGCATACCCTTTCTTAGGTGGCTTCCCAGACCTAACCCACCCCTCCACTTCTTCCCCGCCATAGCCCCACCTGCCCTCCCCCGCCCACAGGCCCCAGTTCTGACCTTGGTCTGGAAGCTGAAGATGGTGACGGAGAGGCAGACGAGGGCTGTGATACCCAGGCACAGGAGCACAGACGTGGTGTTGTAGTAACTGAGGATGGGCATGGGGTCGGTAGGAGTCCCCTCTCCCCAGCCTGCCTCGTGGGGCCACCCCATTCTGCCAGAAGCTGACCTCACAACTGTGGCCCCAACCTGTCCATTCCCAGGATCCTCCCCTTCTCAGCTTCCCTAGGCATCTCTGCTCATGGACATTCACTATTGTGCTGAAGGATCTAGACTAGGGCAGGGTGAGGAAAAGGGCTTATGCTGGTGCCCGGGCATGGTTTACAGGTAACCAAATCATCAGGAGTCTGGGGCTTGAAAGCCACAGCTTAAGTGAAGCCACCTGGCCAAGTAGTGCCCAAGGAAGGGGCTTCTAGACCAAAGTTGCCTGCCTTCTTGAACCCCTCCCCCATCCAAGTGCTCCCTGGAAAGACAGGGTTTGGGGGCAGCTCCCCACAGATGTGACTATGAGCCTGCCTAAGGTCCTCCTCTTCCTCCACTTGTCCCCTTTACCTGGACAACATCCCAGTGAGGTAGGCCATGGACAGGGTCTGAAAGGAGAGGCAGGGTGAAGGAATCCTTCACATTCTGTACTCTCAAGATTGAGCCTGGGCCTCTACCCCATGCGCATGCTCCTCAGTGCTGAGCCTGCTTCATTCCACACAGGTTCAGGACTCAGGCCCAGCTGAGCAGTGTTTCCTCGCTAGTTTGCAGGCTCCTCAGGTTATGTCCTTTATATCCCAGGCAGCCCTGCCCTCTCCACAGCGAGAACCCCCATTCTTCATTATCTTACCTCTGGGACACCCATATACATCTCAGAACATGAACACAGTGAACAGAGATTGAGTGCACAAGGGAGAGACTCAGCCCATTTAGAAAGGGAGGGTAGAATGTTCTGGTACAAGAGCTGGGCGCGATACCTCTGTCCCACCAGGGACCTCACATTAGCTATCTCCAGTCCAGACCTCCCCACCCTCAAAGCTCACACTACCTCCATCCTTTCTCCATTTCCACTCAGTATCTGTCCCTAACCCACCCCGGTCACTTACAAAGATGGTCAGCAGGATCAGGTTCCAGGGAAAGTGCCTCCTACAAGGCAAGTCATGGGCTTTAGAGGGGACTCATGCCTGAGAGGGTCTTTGAACCCCCTTTCACACACCATAGAGCCTCTCCATGCAAAACTCCGATCCCTCCTCCCACCTCAGAGGCATCAATGAAGAACAGAGGGGTGGACCCACTTGGCTGAGGCTCAGAAAGGGATGAGGCCCTCTCAGGGGTGTACAGCATCTCTGTGGCAGGCAGGCCTGGGGCCAGGACTTTCAAAGCCCTTCTCATATTTCTACAAGTAGTTCTTCAAGCCATAATCATACCTGGGTCCAGAACAGCAAGCCAAGGTCAGGTAAGTTGCAAAGAATACGGCACTGTGAGAGAGAGAGAGACAGGTGGGCAAGTCAGCTGGTCTCTCCTGTGGCATTCCACCCAGTCTGGGTTTATCCCACGCTGCCACACCTGCCCAGACAGACCAGGCAGGATGGCAAGAACAGAGGGGAGGGCATGGTCATCCTAGAACAAGGCAATGGACAGTGTGGTGGTCTCATTCCAGAAGAGGACAGGTGAGTAGGACAAGCCTGCTTCTAGCAATGTTGAGTCTTGGATACCATGCAATTTGTCATCACTCAACCCAAAGGAACTCAGAAATCTTTTGTTATTTTTTGATACAGAGTCTCACTATATAGCCTAGGCTAGTTTTGAACTCGTAGTGATCCTCCTATCTTAGCCTGAGTCCTGAAGTTACAACTCTGCATCACCACACCTGGCTAAGAGACTGTCTTACTTTTAAAAAACTCATATTCAGGGGCTGAGGAGATAGCTCAGGTACACACAGAGTACTAGGGAGATAACTCAGTGGGTAAAGTGCTTGGCTAACAAGCTTGAGTATCTGAGTTCAGTTCCTAGAACCCATGTAAAAACGCCAGGTATGCTGGAATACTCTTGTAGTCCTAGCAATCTTGTAACCGTAGCTGGAGAGGCAAAGACAGGAGGGTCCCTGGGGCTCGGCTCGATGTCCAGCTAGTCTAGTCTAGTTGGGGAACTCCAGGCCAATGAGACACTGTCTCAAAGGAGGTAAATGATATTCCTAAAGATGACATCCAAAGTTGTCCTCTGGCTTCCGTATGTACACCTACACTCATGTGCATACATATGTACACATCCGTACACATGCATTACCAATAAAAAGTTCATGTCAGGTATGGTGGTATGGTGGCGTAATCCCTAGTTCTCAGCACTCGGGAGGTGGAGGCAAGAGGATTAGGAATTCAAGGTCATCCTCAGCTACATACTGAGTCTGAGACCAGCCTGGGCTATGTGAGACCTTTCCTCAAAATAGATGAAAATCAATAAAGTAAAAAGCTTGTATACAGTAAGTCTGTGTGCTGGGCACATGTTTTTTTTCCTCGTCTTTTTTTCCTGGTCTTTTTGAGATGGGGTCTCCCTGTCCCCAGCTAGCCTAGAACTCACTATGTAGACCAGGCTGGCCTTGAACTCATAGAGATCCACCTATTTCTGCCTTCTGAGTGCTGGAATTAAAGGCATGTGCCACCACGCCCGGTCAGAATTTTTTAATTTTTAAAAAATTTTATGTGTATGTGTGTATTGCCTGCATGTAGGAAAGTGCACCTGTGTCGTGCAATGCCTGAGGAGGACAGAAGAGGCTCTCGGATCCCCTGGAACTGGAGTTAGCTGACTAGCTGTTAGCTGCCATGTGGGTGCTAGGATTCGAACCCGGGTCTTCTGCAAGAAGTCAGTGTTCTTAACAGCTGAGCCATCTCTCCAGCCCCCAGAAATTTTTTTAGAGTGTTTAAGAATACTAATTAACATGATCCTCTCCTCTATGAAGTTATGTTCTCCCTTTTACAGCTGAGATCACATGACTTGTCTAAGGTTGTGTGGCTACCCTGTTGCTGAAGCAAGACTGGAGCCTGGGTGCTCCAGCTCCAGGAAGCCGACTTCCCACTACTGACACACAGCCTCTCCCAGCCCCTCACTACTTGAAGCCATCTTGCTACTTTATTATTGTTCTGCCTACTAGGCAGGGGCTCAGCATGTGCAGGGCCTGCTGCACTGGGCTGCGGCAGGAAGTGGAATGAATTTCTGGATTGGTTAGCCATGTCCAGTGGGAAGTGGCTAGGGGATGGATGACTATTGGGGGTTTTCTGGAGAGCCATAGGACAGGGATCAAGCCAGGAGATGGAGGATGGGAGATCCTCCAAAGACAGGTGGTCCAGCAACGCATGGCTTCCACCCCAGCAGGCTTCCACGCACCCTTGCAGTCCCTTCCTATCTCTTCCTCAGCATCTCACCCGCCCTCCATAGCAGCAGTTCCAAACAGCCTCCTCCTTCTCCAAACCTCCCATACTGCCTCACTCTTTGCATAGTCTGCCTGGTGTGTTCCAGAAAGATCTGAGATAATGAGGTGCAACTCTCATGTCGCCTGGCCTGTCACCTGCGAACCTCACATGGTGCTATAGGCCCTCCTGCCTCTCATCTGTTCCAGGCAATCCTCCCAACCTGGGCTCTGTGTCTCACCCCCTCAAAAGCCCAGTTATCACTTACGTCACTCTTTCTGCTGGCACCTCTCCTCCCGTGTCAACCTCCTTAGCCTCTCTCTAGCCTCATCCAGCACCTTCCCCATCTCTAGCCACTGCAATTCAACTCTATCCACCCTGTTGACTGAGCTTCTCAGTGTCCTCCTCACACTGTCTCTTCTCCATCTCTCCTACCCGCCCAACAGCCCAGCCTCAGCCGCACGTAACAAGAGCTGGATTGGTCACATCAGGGTGACCTTGTTGAGTGTAGTTGTCACTTGTTGGTCCTTACCTTACCTGACTTCTCAATGTCTGGTCACTCCTATTGTTTCTCTGGTTCCACACTAACATACTTTCGGCTGCCTTCCTCCTTCCCTGGCCACTCCTTAGTTCCTTTAAGGAATCTCTAAATCCAGCTGCTCCCTTCACAGCAGCCCCACTCCCTTCCCACGTTCCCTCACCCACAGGATGAACCTATACGTCAGATCCCCATTTTCCTTCTCAGCCCTTCACTGGAACCTCTGAACAGTGGCTCTTCAGAAATGCATGGGACTCAAGGCATAGAGCTGAGCTGCATTCTCTGCTCTTTCTTGTGCACGCCCCCCCCCCAGCAGCTGAGCACACCATGCAACCACCAGGCTACCCAGCCAGAGGAGAGGCCTCAGCATCATCCTCGGAGCTTACCCTGCCACACCCAGTTAATCATCTGGATCTACTCATCCTACTCGTATCTCAGCTCTTCCCCTGCCCCACTTTAAGTTGGGCCACCTCATTCTCCATCTCTTTGTCCTGGACTGGGGTCCTCCTGCCTTCAATTGAGCTTTCCTCCTTCATACGACAGGCAGATGAGATCACACGTCTCCCTTAAAGATCTGGCAATGCCCATGGCACAGTCCACCCACCACCGGCTCCTCACCTCTGGTACCACATCCCGCCACCCTCCTTTCATCACAACCTGTTCTACACTCTCAAAAGTGCCTACCACTCTGCTCTTGATGGAAAAGACTGGCTGTCAGGACACCTGAGACTGCCCTTTGCACGCCTCACCACTTCCCCTGCCGGCACTGCTCACCTGACCCCTGCTCCCCTTCAGCACCTCGGGTCTTATTTATTTTTCCTGACATCTCACCTGAGGGGTTTCTGTATGAAACAGAAAAGCAAACCAAAACGGCTACAAAACAGGCAGTGCAGGAGACTGAGGGTTGAGACATGCCCCTGAGCTGTGCTGGACCGGACCCCTCCATCGTAGCCCTTTCCTCAAGAGCTGTGAGCACATGAGCGTCATCAGAACAGTGACTAGGCATTCTGGGGCTACCTAGTGCCAGGTACCAGAGCAATTGCCCACCCTGCCCCAACCTTTCTCAGGTGAAAAGCACCCCACCATTGGCTTTCTCATGGTCTCCCTTGAGTCGCCGGTCAGTTGGTTCAAAAGCTGATAGTAGCAGAATACTTAGCTGAGTGTCTCCTGTCACTGAGACCAGACTAGAAGTTTCCTTTCGGCAGGGCCCTGTCCTTTTCTCTGTGCTCTCTAGTTCCTCAACCTTTAAGACAGGTACCAGAAGGAGGGGCAGAGAGGAGACCCAGGATCCAGGGACTATGAGGCAGCTTTGGTACCTGATGCCAGCAGTCACGTCCCAGGCCTGCCACAACTGTGTAGCCAGGGATAAGGATTTAATAACCAAGTCTTAGTTTCCTGCTTCACAGAACAGGAAGGCTGGTCACGGCTCTCCAGCTCTAGAAGGCCTGATGGGAGGATGTAGGTGAAGTACTTAGCCCGGGCTTGGCATCGGGTTGGACTCGTGGATGGGAGCTGCTCTTACTGTCATTAGAAGCTGGCTGACTGACAGCTTCCCCAACTCACCTCCACCCAGCCCTGACCTCATGCTTCTCCTCTGCCTGGTTTTATCTCATGACTCTGTTCTGCCTCAGACACTGGCTCAGTGGGAGCAATCAGACAGCAAGGCAAGAACCCAACGAAGGGAGCCAGAGACAGGAACTTTGAGACAGTCAGGACTGGTGGTGGGGATTAGCATCCCATGGGGCAAAAGCAAGTCAGAGAAAGATGAAAGAAAACCTGGTGAGCCCCGGGCCTGGGACAGTCTGTTTAGTGTTAGGACAGGGAGTGAGATTCAGATGAAGGCTAGTAACCAAACCTATAGGCCTTCCCCAGCTGCTCTGCTCTAACTCCCAGAGCTGCGGACAGCGCAGTGGGCAAGTGTGTGGCTTTCCCATCAGGCGGGCCTGGCTTTCTACCTTGGCTCCGATGCTTGGAAAGAAACTTCTCTCTGCCTCAATTTCCTCATGTATGGAATGGAGATCATAATAGTACCTGCTTGGCAAGGCTATTGGAAGGATGGACAAAATGGTATGTACAACTCTTGGCATGGTGCCTCATGCATAGAAAAGACTGTTTTATCCTCATCATTATCATCACTGTTCCAACAGGAAGAGATGAGAATGGAGCCCTCAGGGAGCATTTGGTGTGCTGGAGGCGAGGAGGCAAGACCTGACAGGACTCTAGAGCAGGATGGGGAGGGAAAGTAAGAAAGGCAAGACCTCAGGTAGGAGGCATCCCGGTAATGGGACTCCCAGCATCACTGCAGTATCCCCAGAAAAAGCCCAGTTCAAGCCCACTTCCCACCTTTCTACCTGCTCCCACCTCAGAGCCAGAAAATGGGCATCACTGCTTTCCAACCAAATCTCACCATCGTGTGGCCAGATGCTCATGCCCTCCCCTCCCCACATCCACCCGTAGAGTGGACTCTGCCCTGCTTCCTGAGCTGTCTCTATCACCATGCACAGGACATGGAGTCCCACTGACGCCCTCATAGAAGTGTCCAAGGACATCATTTCTGAGTTCTCAGGGGGCCCAAGCTTGCCAGGTGGTGCTGACGTGCATGGCGGGAGCCATGCCAACCTGCTATGTGGGCTGGCCAGTGTCCCTGAGGCCTCATTAGCTGTACACACAGTGCCTTGCAACTCCCCAGGTCTCAGCCTTCCCTGCCGGGCTGCAGACCGTCCCTCTGTCCAGTGCTCTAGTGTGTGGATGTCTTTGCCTCTAGAATCCTGGGAAGAATCTTATCACTGTAGAGTCTGTGGTCAGCTTGTGCCAATTCTGGGCCCAAATTTGAGGCCCAAGAACTTCGGACTGAGCCCAGCTCCCCCACTTGGTCCTTATTCAAGAACAGACTAGGCTAGCCAGTGCACAGGCCCCTCTGCCAGGTCACCCATTGAGGGCCCACTGCCCCGTGAGATGCCTTCTGTCCCTCTGCCAGCCCAGCTGCTAATGTAGGGAGCACACTTTGTGCGTCCATACTCCACACTTTCTCCTTCAGTCACCCTCTCCTGGCGGATGCTCCCAGTCCTTTGGTCATCCTGTGAGGTGTGCCCCCTAACTCCCGCACATGCATCTTTGCATATCCCATACCCCCATTTCCTTCCCTTACAGGCAGAAGCCTCCTGCCCAGCAGCCCCAGTACAGGGCTGGCTCACATTGGGTGCCAAGAGGGGCCATGGAGAGAGCAGTTCTCTGAACTTAGAGTGGTTCTGGCCTGGAATTATCCAAAATCATTCCTTAGTTAGCTAGAAAAGAGGGTCAGGTTCGCCTACAACCTCAAACATCTTCTTGAAAACTACAGGACTAGAAAGAGCCAAGTGGCTGACAGGCTGACGGGAGACTGCCAGGAAGAGGGATTAAGAACACCACAAGCCTTAACCTGAACCCAGCTCTACCATGGACTAACTGTGTAACCTTGGGTAAATTACCCAACCACTCTGAGCCTCAGTGTTCTGAGGTAATCATTCCAAGTAGATTTGAGGATTGACTGAACATGCACACAAAACAATGCCCAGCCCTTAATTAGGCACTCTTTAAGTGGTGGCTCTTATGATTAATAATTTCATAAGCATTAATAACAATGTTAATAGGAGTAGCAACATTATCATTAGTGGGGGTCAGAGTGCTCCAGCCCCTTCCCTCATAGAGTCAAGGTAGCAGTTCTCTCCAGTCAGGGCTCCAGCCCCACCCTTGCCAGCTTGTGTAGGCACCAAAATCTGCCCCCCACCTCCATCTTCCCTGTCAGATCTGAATGACCCATAAAGTGTTTCTGGCCATGCTAGGGGTCTTCAAGGGCACCCCCTGTGGTGTGGGAACACTGTAGCTCGAATCTGTCAACAGAATCACAGTGGACTTCTCTAGGAAGGGGCGTGGGGTGGGACATACTCACTAGGATGCCCAGTACCAGCCTGGGTTAGCCTGGACATAGTCCTTTACGATGTCACTGCAGAGAAGGAGGGACAAAGAGTCAGAGGTTGGTTGCTCTAGGTCTGTTTCTGTTTCAAAGTCTGTTCCTGCTCCACATGGACTTAGAGGAAGGAGAGAGATACGGTTCTGGGAGGCCCAGGGAGAGCCTGGCTAGGTGACTGGGATTAAAGCTGAGCGCCTGCCTCACAGACACCTGTGGACTGGAGGGCAGCTGGACACCCCACGCTGTTTGGGGACTTCCCACATGGTGCACACTGGAGGTTCTTCCACGGCATCCCCCAATCTCTCCAGGTGAATATTCCAAGAGAGGTCTGATGGGGTCCCCCTTCCCCAAGCATGTCCATGGCCCCTCCTGGAAGATGCTGATCCATATGGCCAACTTACCAGAAGGTAAATAGAGCCACAACAACCAAGGTCACCAGCAGCTGGATCAGCAGGATGGTATAGACCTAAAAGAGGGGGTGCTCAGTTGGGGGAGCACTGGGCCCCGAGCAAGGCTCTGAGAAGCCTTAGTTCCCAGGGACTCATCTGAGTCCAGACCTACTTCCTAGACAGTCCACCCTCCTTCATAGGGGTCACTGGGCAGACCCAGGACATGTGGAAGGGGAGCAAAGGTGCCAGACTCTCAAGAGGAACAGTCCACGCAACCTTAGGGACACACAGTAAGGAGTAAGGGCCTTGGGTGAGGCCTCAGAAGCACCTGTCAGCAGGAACCATCAGCCAGGATGGTGGGAGAAGGTAGGACGTGCCCTCTGCAGGCAGAAGCTGGGCCAAAGTCCTTCTAGGGGCTCCCCCACCAAGTTCCTCCCCACCAGCAGCCCAGAGCATGGGAGAGGCAGTTACCTTTCTGATGAAGACCCGTCGAACTTTCTGGTCATCCCAGCTGAAGGTGGTGAAGAGCTCATGGCGTCCAGTTGAGAAACCACCATCATAGCTGGGGCTGCTACCTGGGAGGGTACAGAAATGCTGGCCCAGCTGCCCCTGCTCAGAGCTACCTTTGAGTCAGGCTGACTCTCTGAGCCCAGTGAAGTCTTTTCTCTGCAGACCCCCTGTCTGTCCAGACCACTCAATGTCTCTGTCTCCCATCACTTCTTACTTTCCCTGCTCTGGATCCTAAGAATGAGCTGTTTTCCACCCTCTCCTTCCATGGTGGCTGAGGCTCTGAGGACCAAGCTCTGTCATACAAATATGTCCCTTCCCTTTTGTGTCTCCATTCCCCTCCTTGGCTTCTTGAAACCAAGAGTCAGAAAGGGACAGTCATTCTTCCAGGTCAGTCAATGTTTCCTAGGGTCAAAGGTTCTGACCCTGGGTGTTCTGAGGCCCCTGGGGCAGGATCAGGGGCTGGGTGGAGGTGCTAGGTCTGCTGGTGTTCCAGAAACCAGGGATGAGGGGAGCTGGTGGGAAAGGAAGAAAGGAACAGGTGGGAGTGGGGTGGATGGCGGTCCAGACCTGGTCCAAGAGCTCTGGCTTTTGACTCGGGAGCCAAGAAGACCTACAGGTGGATATGCCATCATCTGGGAATAGCTGTGTGACTTTAAGCAAGTCACTAGCCTTCTCTGAGTGTCTTCTGGCATGGGCAGTGAACACACTGCAGAGACAGAATTCGATAGAGAAGCTTATGTATTCTGTGCCTGGTGGGGGACTACACTGCCCTTGCACCCCTCTTTAGGGCCATTCCCAAGCCCTGGAAAGTATCTACCTTGGTCTCTGCCACTGTCCCCAGCAGCTCTGGCTATCTTTCCCTTTACCCCACAGCAACAGCCTGTGCCTTCGTCTTTGACTGTAGCACTGCCCTGTTGGAACTCTTCGATGGCTCCTGCTCAGCTTTCAAGTTCAAGGTCTTTTTTGTTTGTTTTTTGAGACAGGGTCTCATGTAGCCTAGGCTGGCCTTGGAATCATTATGTAGCTGAGGATGACCTTGAATTCCTGATTCTCTCATTTCTACCTCTGGAGTACTGGGATTATAGGCATATGCCACCATGCCAGGCAAGTTCAAGTCCCTTTAACAATGCCTCCAGCAAATTCCCGCCCCGAGCATTCTTCCTTCCCACTTCCTAAGCCTGATTGCCTTTGCTCAGCCACCTGCCTACTTGTCCCTGAACTCCTGCCCACACAGCACTTTTAGTCACTCTTATCTGCCTCCTCACAGGCTAACTCAAGACACAATCCATACGGCTACCCCTTCCTCCAGGAAGCCTTCCCTGACCTGATGGTGGGGCAAGGAGCTGGTCAGGCCTCTGTCACTGCATCTGAGTTGAGTCACTGTGGTAGCTGTCCACTGACAGTCAGCTCTGGAGGGAAGAGCCCTTGAGAGGACTCTGTATCCCCGGGAATGAGCTCAGTTGACCCTGCCTGGGCCATATGAGTAAACGTTTGTCACCTACTGACTGCAAGGATTGGCCTTCCTGCCCACTACACTTACTTAAAGGTCATTCCTAGCAACCAAGGTGGGAGGAATGGGAATACAGAGGGGAAGAGAGAGCTGTGTCCACCTAACCATGGATCTGAAGCCCCAAAGCTACAGCCTCTCCTCTGCTTCTCCAGCACCACCTGCCTGCTTCCCCTGCCACCCAACATCTAGGCCATTGGAGGGTGAAGGGCTCTACCACACCAGACCTCCATTGACCTTCCAGTATGTCACACTGGGGTGAGGCTGCGGGGCTCTGGGTCGAGGGGGTTTTTTGATGGAGGTGTGGACCATGGTGGCCACTCCCTCCCTGTGAGCTGGGCTCTGTGAGCAGGGCTCTGTGAGCAGGCCCTCTGATAGGGTATTGTTGCCCATCCCTTCTAGAACTGTGCGACAGTGTCAAGGTGGGGGAGGGGAGGTTGGGGGGCAGCAGAGGGACCCTGAAGGAGCTGAGGAATTTTTAAAAATATTTTATTGAGAGAGAGAGAGAGAGAGAGAGAGAGAGAGAGAGAGAGAGAGAAAGTGTTTATGCTTGAGCACAAGTGGAGGGCAGAGGAC